TCACTATGTAGTTGAGACTGACCTGGAACTCACTATGTAGCCCAGGCTGGTCTCGAACTCACAGCAATCTTCCTGCCTCAGCCTCCAAGTGCTGGGATTACAGGTGTGCACCACCATGCCCAGATAATGATTGATTCTTTTGCTCTACAGAAGCTTTTTAGTCTGATATAATCCCACTTGTTAGTTCTTGTGCAGTTGAGGTTCTATTTAGAAAATCCTTTCTTACACATGTGTCTTCAAGTGTTTTATCTATTTTATCTTCCAGTAAGTTTAACGTTTCCATTTTAATGTTTAGATCTTTGATCCATTTTCACTTTAATTTAGTACATGGTGAGAGATAAGGGTCCAGTTTCAATCTTCTGCAAATAAATACCAGTTTTTCCAGCTCCAGTTGTTGAACAGGCCATCTTTCCTCCAACATATGCTTTTGGCCCTCTTCAAAGTTCAAATAACTAAATGTGTCTGCCTCAGTTCTGCTCCATTGATTCATGTACCTGTTTTTGTTCCAGTACCGTGCCATTTTTTTCACTATTGCTTGAAGTCAAGTATTGCTATACCTCCCGCTTTGCTCTTATTGTCCAAAATTGCTTTTGCTATTCTAGGTCTCTTCTGGCTCCATAAAAAATTTTAGGATTGTTTTTTCTAGATCTGTAAAGTATGCTGATGATATTTTGAATGGAACTGCACTGAATCCACATATAAGTTTCAGGAGTATGACCATTTTGAAAATATTGATGCTACCTATCCAGGAGCATGGGATATACTTTCATTTTCTGACGTCCTCCTGAATCTTCTTCTTCAGAGTATTATAGTTTTCTTTGTAGATGTCTTTCCTTTCCTTGGGTAAGTCAGTTCCTAGGTCAATTCATTTTTCTTGAAGCTACTGTGAATGGTACTGTTTTCATAATTTACTTCTCCTCTCCTTCATTGGTGATGTACACAAATGTTAATGATTTTTGTGTGTTGATTTTGTATCACGAGATGTTGCTGAAGTTTGAAGAGTTTTTTGGTGGAGTTCTGTGGGTCTACTTTGTAGAGTATTATGTAATCAGCAAATAATAATTTGAGTTATCATCCGTGTCTTGTTCCTGATTTTAGAAGGAATGCCTTTAGTTTTTCCCCATTTAGTATGATGCTGGCTATTGGTTTGTCATAGATAACTTTTATCATATTTAGGTATGGTCCTTCTATACCTGTTTTCCTCAGGGCTTTTATCATGAAGTGGTGGGACGGGGATTTGGCTCAGTGGCACCATGCCTGCCTCACAAGGGCAGGGAGTCCTGAGTTTGATCCCCAGTATCAAAAGAAAGAAAAAAAAGATGAAGTGGTGTTGGATTTTGTGGAAAGCCTTTTCTGAATTTATTGATATGATCATAAGGTTTTTGACCTTATGGGTGATGCATTACATTTATTGACTTGCATATGTTAAACCATTCTTGCATCTCTGGAATGAAACCTATTGGGTCATGAGTGATGTTTTTGATGCTGTGCTACACTCTATTTGCTAATATCTTATTGAGAGTTTTTGCATCCATGTTCAATAAGGAGATTGACCTATAGTTTTCTTTTTTAGTTGGGTTTTATCTGGCTTTGGGATCAGGGTGTTACTGGCTTCCATGAATGTATTTGGGAGCATTCCATTCCTCTCCATTTTCTTTAAAGAGCTTGAGGACTATTAGCAATATAATATCCTTAAAATTTTTATAGAATTCAGCAGTGAATCCATCCGGTCCTGGGCTTTTTTAGTTGGCAGATTCTTTATTACTGACTATGTCAATTTCATTGCTTTTTTTGGATTGTTAAGCATATTTATGTCTTCTTGGGTTAGTTTTGGTAGCTTGTATGTGGCTAGGTATCTGCACATTTCTTCAAAATTTGCTAACTTGTCAGAATATAATTTTCAAGGTAGTTACTGTCTTCTAGATTTCAACAGTATCTGTTGCAATTTTACCTTTTTTGTTTCTAGCTGCACTGATGAGAGTCTTTTCTAGCTTTCTCTTGGTAAGTCTGCCTAGAAGCTTATCTATTTTATTTAGTCTTTCAAAGAACCAGCTCCTCAATTCACTGCTTTTTAAACTGTTTTTTTAGTCTCAATTTCACTGTTTCCTCTCTCATATTTATAGTCTCCTTCCTTAATTTTGGTTTGGGGCTGGTTTGTTGTTGTTTCTCAAGTATCTTAAGATTTCCCATAAGGTTGTCTTTTTTAGCTTGATCTGTTTTCCTAGTCTTTGCATTGACTGTGATGAATTTTTCTCTTACAAATGCTTCCATAGTGTTCCAGAGGTTTCAACAAGTTGTACCATCACTGTCATTAACTTCCAGAAATTTTTAAATTTATTTTTTGATTTCTTCAAGAGCTTTTTTGCCTTTTCCAAAATTTCTTCTGTCATTGATTTCTATTTTCATTGCACAGTGGTCTGATAGTATGCAGGGATATTGTCTATTCTTTTATAATTACTTAAGCAAGTTTGTTTTGGGGGTCCAGATGCATGAGGTTTCCATCCTTTGATTTTTTTTTTGTCTATGAATATCTTTTCGGATTATATGAGTTTCTTGAATGCAAAAGATTGTTGGATTCTGTTTTTTGATCCAGTCTACCAGTATGGCCCTTGTAGAAGAGTTGAAGCCATTAACATACAGAAATAATTACTGAGATGTGTTGTTTATTTACTATCATTGCCTTCTTTATCTGTCAGTGTATTCCTTGTTTTTCTTTTCCTGATGTTTTTTGTTTATCTTTATCCACTGACTTCACTACCTTCTTCTGTGTTTTTAGCTGTGTCCAATTCATTGTTTCTGTTGAAAATATTCTTGACTCTTTTCTAAATGAATTACCTCAATAAACAGTCCCTGAGATGTGAGGCATTCCCAGGAAGTCTGAAAGCCACCTTTAGGGCAGCCTAGCACAGAGTCTTGGTACAGAAGGAAGAGAAATTAATATGCAGGAGAAAAATGAATGAATGAATGAGAGTGAATGCTCCAGACCAGCCAGAGAATAAACTGCAACAGTTTTCTGAGGCTGCAACAAATTTTCTTCTGAGGGTCAGCAAGCAGCTCCTAGCCCCCTGCCCACACCCAGATAAGAAGCTGTGGTCAAAAGAGTGCTTGGGAAAAGTGGTGATCAGAGCATCAGCTTTCAGCCCAGGAGGAGCACCAAGTGGTTTTGTCTGTCACCTCCTCCTCCACCCCAACCCTGGAATTTGGCTCTAATCTGACAGAAACACTTTGTCTGCCTTAAGAAGAATTCTGCACTATCAGTGAGGCTGATTTTCCTGCTTAGGTTATCACAAAAAGGCTTTCAGAACAGGACTGCTATGGCCCCATGGGGCTTGTGTGCCTCAGGGTAGGTGGAGGGTCACCAAGGCCATCTGGACACAAGCAAGTTACTCATAGCCCCCCCCCCCCGTTCTGAGAATCAGCCCTTTGCTAGGTGCAGCTCTGTGGTTCCTCCTCCTGAGCCCCACAGCCCCAGGACAGATGGGTGAGTTTTCAAGCTCACAACTAGCCCCTGTAGTTTCATGGCCCTGTCTCCTGCTCCAGGTGAATGGGCTGACAGGGCTTCAGAGCAGCTCAGGCCAAGGGATTAAAGCACCCACTTGAAAGTCAGAGTGCTGCTTCAGAGCCTGAGTCCACAGCTTCATTGCCTGTTCCTCTGGCCAGGTTACTTAACTTCATCAGGCCTCAATTTCCTCATCTGTAGAAACTGATTTAATAATAATACCTATCTCTGCCAGCCACAGTGGTACACACCTATGATCACAGCTACATGGGTGAGGGAAGAGGAACAAAACTTCAAGATAAGCCTAGGCAGCTCAGTGGTAGAGAGCCCCTGGGTTTCATCCCCAGTACCACCCTTTCCCTAATTACCTACCTCGAAGGTTTTAGGAAGACTTGAAAGGGTCTCTCCAACAGGGATGTTCAGTAGATCATAGTTACTAAGATTATCGTATATATATATATATCACAAATGCAATCAATATTATAGATTTGCTCCGATCTCTATGCGAAAGGCATGTATATTTGTGGGTACCAATATTTCAAGGAAGAAAAACAATGTGTCCTATAATAGACTTGGTGCTTTACATATGTGACTTTGCCTTTTATGTATATGACCTTATTTGTTCCTCTTCACCATCCATGAGGTGGTTAGCAATTTGATCCCTTTCTTCAGATGAAGACAATGAAGCTCAGATAGGTTAGGTGACTTGCTTAAAGTCACACAGCTAATAATTTGTGGAGCTGAATTAGATTCTGGGACTGACTCCAAAGTCTATCCTTCTGAACACTATGATTACAATGTCCACCTGAAGTAACTGACTTTTAAAAAGAAATAGACTGCAAAAGTTGCTACCTCCAAATGTGTGTTGTCTTTTAAAGACATCATTTTGAAAACTACCAATTCAGCCTGTCAGCCTGTCGATGCTGCCAATGTTCATACTCTTCAACCCTCAGAACCACATACAAGCTTCATGAAAAATACTGGTTTTATTCCATTTTATCATGTTCATCTGTAATCTAAAAAGGTATTACTTAACTTGATTATGCATCTTTGTCCCTAGACTTTGATCTGAATGTATTTTGGCTGTTGTTAAAAAATCAAATCCACCCTTAAAAGATAAATATTTTCCTCATCAAGATACCAAAGAATAACTTCAGTGTCTAAAAAGAAATGATCCAGAGGGTTTTTAATAGCATCTTCAGGATAAGTGATTCATCTTCCGAGGAGATTGCTTTGAAGAGGAGACTTGTGTGGGATCCACGTGTTCCGCTGTGTTTATTTAAAACATACCTTACATTTCCTTGCATAGACTCACAAGTAACTTCCCCTGATACCCCAGACACTGAGCTCCACGGAGGCAGAGGAAATTGATGAGGTTACCAAGTCCTTTTGAATTGTGTTTTGCCTACACTTTTAAATTTTACTCAGTGGATTAGAAACACAAGCAAAAGCTTCCCTGAGGAAAGGGACTTCACCTGAATAAAGACACTCACGCATCCATAGTGATCTTTCTCGTTCTGCAATGCCGGTCCCCAGTCCAGAAATGGCAGTTAATGGTTGAAAAGATAGTTTGGGGCTCTGAAGAGACAGATTTGAATATTGAGTATAGCATTTCCCTTAGTAAGTCAGCCAAACCATATCACCCCCATTCATGTGACTGTCCGGAGTTTAATTTATAAGCCTTCCACTTCCAGGAAGATTGTGTGACATCTGAGCCCAGGCAGTGCTGGGCACCTTTTGAGAAAAGTTGTCAGGTTTTTAATGTGTTACAAATATGGCCTGATATTTGATAATGTGTCTATTGTCAGATTGAAGACATCCACCCCGGCTCAGTCATTACAGCAGGCCCTACTTAGTTAGAGTGCCTCCTTGCTAACTTACTCAAAACACAGCCTTTTACCTTTTTGCCACCCACCTCCCATAATTTTGTTCCTCGAGCTCTTTTTTGTTTTTTTTGTTTTCAGACAAGGTCTCACTATACAGTCTAGCCTTAAACTCACTAGGTAACCTAGGGTAGCTTTAAACATCAAACCTCTTACCTCAGTCTCCCAAGTGCTGGGATTACTGGCATGTGCCACCACATCCAGCTTCTTTCAGGCTCTCATCACTTTTGGTTTTGCCTACATTGATGCCTACTTCCTCCCAAAGCCCCCTGTACTTCCCAGATGTTCACATCCCTGAAATATTCCATATGAAAAAAATCTTGTAATCAAGTAAGTCCACCTTTCCCTGCTTTGGTCTGGTTCACATTTGTCTCATGGATTCAATAAGAAAACTTTGATTAGTGTGGTAGGCAGGTATATCGCTTCCTGTTTTGGGACACAGTACTCAGAACCCACAGCTTAAAGGAGAAGTTTAATTTGGCTCATGGTTTCACAAGATTCAATCCATGCTTGGCTGGTTCCAAGGCAGGAGAATCATGAGAGAAGGATGTGGAGGAGCAAAGCTACTCATTCATGGCAGTAGGAAAGCAGAGCAGGAGAACAGTGTCAGAGAGGAAGGGGCCAGGGACCGTACATAGAACCCAAGGTTATGCCTCCATGAGCCTCTCAGATATACCCAGAAGTGAGTTCCTGATGTGCTAGGGGTTTCTTAATCCAATGAAATTGGTTAACTCAGCATGACAATGTTCCCCCAAAGATGCCCATATCCTAATCCTAGGGACCTGTGGCCATGTTACATTACATGGCAAGGGGGCATGATGATTTTAATCAGCTAACAAAATAGGAAAAGTATCCTGGATTATCCAGGCAGGCCAACAGGTCCTTCCAGACCTGCTGTTGTGGGCTTTGAAGATGGAGGAAGAAGCCCACAAGCCAAGGGATTGGGCAGCTCTGAAAGCCAGAAAGGACAAGGAAGCAGACTTCCTCCTACAGCCTCCAAAATAGGACTTAAGAACTGTAAAATAATAAATATGTGTCATTTTAAGGTTCTAAGCCTATGGCAATTTCTTATAGCAGCAAGTAGAAACAAATACAGATAAGACCTAAACCACAAGAAAACACAATTCATTGATATTTTTCTGCATATCAATTGTGATAAAAATATTCTGATGTCAAGAAAATTAAATGAGGGCCGGGGATTTAGCTCAGAGGTTTGGTGGCCTGCTTCACAAGCACAAGGAACCAAGTTCGATCCCCAGTACCAAAAAAAAGAAAAGAAAATTAAATGAACAATTTTCTTTGAATCAGGATCTTAGGTTGTGGTCTCTAGAAACAGATACTGACACAGAGACTTGGGGGCTGTGGTTTTACTGGGAGGGGCAGTCCCAGGTGAGAAAAGCTGGATCCTGCAGGAGAGGCTGTGCTGTGAAGCAGCTGTACCTGAGGCTTTAGCTTATTCTGTGGCAAATATGGAGCTGGAATGGTCCTGCAAAGTTGACCCACATGGAGGCAAGAGGGCTGAGCTTCCCATTCAACTCCTCCACTGTGAAAGGGAGGCAGTTCCGGGGCTAAGAGCAGTGCCAGTTCAGAAGGCTTCTGTGAGCCATGGGGGTTGACTGAGCAGGGGAGCTGAGCAGGCACTGGGCATTTGTGGCAAGCATTTGCTTTTTCTGGGGTATGTCCTGAGACTAAAACACTATATATTCCATTTTGTCTTTCCAAATCAGATAATAACAACTACTATTACTTTAGGGTGTTTTTTTTTTTCAAGGCTGGGGATCAAGCCTAGGATCTCATGCATGCTTTGGCAAGTGCCCTACCACTAAGCCACAAACGCTGTCCCAGTTTAGTGTAACAGATACTGCAATAAGGTCTTTGCACACATCATCTCTTATCCTACCAAGTGTTAGTTCCATTTTACAGATGAGGACAACTAAGGCTCAGAAACTCCAACTGATAGTTGGTTTCAGGCTACTCAGCTAGTGAAGTAGCAGAGTCAAGTGTGAAGATCGAAGACAGCACACTCCACCCACAGCTCACCAGAGAGCACGTAGACTGTCTCCTGCAGAAGAGAGCTACCACCCTTAAATGTCAATCTGACACCATAAGATCCTTGGTCCTCAAAGAAAGATTAAGATTATATTTGGTAAACTCAGCTTCCTAATAAGAAAGGGGACCTGAGCCTAAGCTATTAAATAAACTAGGGTTGAAATGAAAAAGAACTTAAGTGGATTGGATTTATACCACACTCTGTAAATTAAAGTTAATTACAATTTTTCTTCCTATTGTACAGGGACAACTGAGTCATAATTTTTTACTTAAATTCAGGGTTCTCTTTCCGAATGGAAGCTCTTAGAGAAAAGGTGTCAGGACCATCTGCCTTTCCTTGTACAGCCCCTAGCACTGTGTCAACCCAGGACAGCACACAATAAATACCATTTGATGATTTCTTCCCCTATATTTGTGGCCTCAGACCGGTCTAACAGTGCAATATCATTCACCTTAGCACTTTCCTTGCAGGCTGGGTCAGGAAAATATGGTGCTCTGGAAAATGCCATAAAAGCTTTCTTCTTTAATAAGGACCCCGGTATCCCATGATGGATGCTATAAAATTCCCCACCGGCTGGTGTGTTCGTGGCCGTGTGGGCCCATTAACAGCGTCTGGTCTTCTGGTAACATACTTCATATCTGAAGTGCAAGAGCAAAAGCATTTATTATAAATAACATGCGGTGACCCTAGAGTAAACACAGCTGTGCCCTCGTGGTGTCTTGTCTGTGGCACTCCCTCAGTAGATTAAAGAAATCAATGTTTTATGGGGCCATCACTTATTCTGTGTATACACACAGGGCTGGTTTTCTGTAGACGCGCAGGTTGCTGTGTATAAGGTTTCAGGCCCAGAAATTGTATGAAGCAGACATGTTTTGCTAAAACACTTATTCTTGCACATTCTAATATTTTCAAAAGGGAGTGAGAGTTGATTTGTATTTGTCCTAGATGATTTCCACAACATTCTGGGCCCTACCCACCTTGTAGCTCTTGAAACTCCTCCTCATTTCCGTCTCCCACTGCCCTTGCAGAGAAATAAGCAAGAGGCTTTCTCTGGAAGGTCTGGGCTTGGGCTCTGACAGCCCCTGGCTGTGGGGGTTGGAGCCATTCCTTTAACCAATTCTTTGCTCGCCACCAGCATACTCGCTGGCTGCTGGCTGCACTTGCAGCCTTTACTCCAAGATATCTTGGATTACAGGTCAAGCCTTATCCCCAAAGCTTGTCGCAAGAGATGTCATTTTCATTATTATTTTTGCATCACTCCAGTATATTGATAAGACTTTAGAAACAAAAGATATCATTGCATTGATAGCATTTTGAGTTTGGTAGTAGAATTTGCATTTGCAAAATATAGCAATTCTCAATAATTGAAAATGTCAAATTTACCACACCAAGAAAAAAAATAATAAATGCTGATCATCATATATATTTCCGTTACACTGGGATTAGAGGTAAGTTCTGTTTAGGAATAGCTCTAAGAAGGCTTTTATGTTTTATTTTCACACTGAAAAGCAGTCAGATTTGCTTCAGCCTCAAAAAGCATGTTTATGTAAAATTAGGATTTAGCTCAATGTTGCTGCCACCTGCCTCACAAAGCTCAAGGTCCCAAGTTCGATCCCTGGTACCAAAATAAGAGTAATGATAATAATTAAATTAACACTGGCAGTGAGCAGCACTTTTTTCCTAAGCAAGAGCTCTAACTGGGCCTTAGTTTCCTCATCCTTAAATGGGGGAGAATGAACCCTGATGCCTGGAGTTAGTGCTGAGTTAGACCGGTGTCCCCAAATTAAGGGTAGAGTGGGAAGGGAGCTGCAGTACAAAGTAAGACCATGCCAGCTGCTGGAAAAAATAGATATATGAATATTTACATGACATTATATAAATATTAACAAAATAACATTTTGCTACATATAAATCTAAAATCATACAAAGGCCCCATGGGTTATGTCATGCCTGCAGGTCTGCTTCTCTGATTCAATCACTATCAGATCAAAAAGATTTTTTTAATTACATCTTAGCTTTTTTTTAACCTCTAGTCCCTCAACAATATAGTATAAAAATTATTTACACAGCACTAACCTCATATTACTTATTATAACTAAGATAGAGATGATTAAAGTAGACAGGAGGACAAGCTAGGTGATACGCAAATACCACGTCATTTCATACAAGCATCTGCAGATTATGGAATCCACGGTGTTCCTGGAAACAATTTCCCATGGATCCAGAGGGCCATTGTATACAAAATCCTCTCACAATTTTAATTGTACACATATTTTGGGATTATCTATGAGAACCAATAGTCCACATGGCTCCAGACACAGAGTCTGATGGTGAACCAATGGCCGTGTGATGGTTTTCTCACAAGAGTTCACATCTTTAACCACTTTGTTCTCACTGGTCAGAATTAAACCCTGAGACATTGAACCCTTCATTGCTTTCTCTACAGTCTGTAAACTGAAATGCTCAGGACTTTCCTCACCAAAGACGGTGACCCTAAGTCAGAGCGAGGGAATCTCCCTAACTAGATGGATGTGTCTGCGTTCCACAAAACAACTGGATTTTTGTATAAAAGCTGTAGAAAGCAAACTCTTAAAGCTTCTGTTTACACATGAATTTGGTTATCTCTCCTCTGCTCCTAGATGGAAACACACACACACATATGCATGCACACAACCATATGGTCAGGTCGACAGTCATTGAGAGCATCTCAGGTGGTAAAGCATGGAGAGGGTTGTGGCACAGGTTCACTGCCTGGAGATCTAGGAAAGGCTTCCTCAAGGCTCCGGCTTCCTAAGGAATGGTATGAATTCTGGCAGATAAGGGGGAATAGGGTAGAGGGCAGCTGGCACACAGAACAGGGCCACTCATCTGTGCAGGTATGGAGGGGAGGGTGAGGGTGAGCATGGAATGAAAGCAGCACGGCCAGGGGAGTGTCAAGAGGTGTCCTCACAAGTGAAGTGGGGCAGTTTGCAAAGAGCCATGTCTGTTCTCCTTTATTCACAATCTTTCATAATGCTTTTACCCTTCTCCCTTCAGAAATCTCTTAGTCATCAGCCCCTAATCTCTATCCTTTTTACTTTATTAAACCACTAATCTACTTTCTGTCTTTGTAGGTTTGGCTATTCTGAACATTTCATATAAAAGAAATATTTCCATATGTCTGCTTTTCTTATTACAGTTATGTCTAGTTTTCATTTAGCGTAATGTTTTAAGAGTCATCCAGGTTGCGGAATGTACACTTCCTTTACTCCTTTTTCTGGCTGAATAACATTCCATTGTATGGCTGCACCATTTTCATTTGTCCATTCATCAGTTGATGACCTTTTGGGGTGTTTCCACTTTGAGGCTGTTATGATAATGATACTGTGAGTATTATATGAGTTTTTTGTAGATGCATGCTTCTCTTTCTCTGTGGTATGTACCTAGCAGTGGGCTCACTGGATCATGCCATAGACCTATATTTTAACATTTTAAGGACCTTCCAGAGTATCTTCCAAGCAGTGGCACCACTTCACTTTCCCTCCAGCAGTGTATTAAGAACTTGTTTAATTTCTTCCCAAATTGACAGCAACTGCTATAGGAATTCCCCTAGGGACAGAAGGACTGGCTGTCTATTGGCCCTCTCTCCTGAGGGAAGAACTGGGTAGTAGTAGTAGTAGTAGGCTTTGCTTTCAGCCGTGCATGGAACCTGTTTTAAGCATCTGGGCCACACCCTTTGTTTCAGGCCACTTTGGCCTCTGGAAAATGGAAATATAATCCATATTTTTCTGTTTTATAGGAGTCTTTTGAGGAGAGAAATTCTTTAGGATTCTTGGAAAGGAAGAGCACAGCTTTAGAAGGTCTGTTGGGTAGTGGTTGCCACAACAAAATGAATAGCTGTAATGCTTAAAATTATTGAGTGTTAGCTCTGGAAGGAAGAGGAAAGGCCATCTAGTCTCGACCTGGGAAGCACACAGCATCACACAAGGACATCTGCCCAACTGTTGGTGCTTGGAATGCTGTATATCCATCCAGGTTCAGGCAAAGGACTGTGTCTGATTAGCGTCGGCAGCGGCACATCTGCTACATATTTGTACTTCCTGGTGAAGCCATGGAAACACTGCAGAAATGGGTGAGAAAGTATCCAGCTAGCTGGCTAAGGACAGAGATGGAACAAGAATCAGTTTAGTGGTTTTTCCTTTGCATCATATGCCTCGTAGTTTGGAAAAGAGTTTCCTGAGAGAGCTCTTTGGGGACAATTTATTTTCTTTTCTTTTTTTTTTTTTTTTTTTTTTTTTTTTTTTTTTTTTTGTACCAGGGATCGAACTCAGGTCCTTGAGCTTGAGAGGCAGGCACCAGAACCAATGAGCTAAATCCCCAGCCCTTCTTTTTCTTTTTGGCAGGGTGTCACTGTGTAGTCCAGGCTGAACCTGAGCTCACTATTTAGCCCAAGCTGGTCTCAAAACTCTCAATCCTTGTGCCTTGGCTTGCTGAGTGCTGAATAGAGGATGTTTCTATCCTGTTATGTTCAGACATTTCTCATCAACTCCTGTGGGGCTCACTCAGCCAAAGTGGTTAATGATTACAGAGGCTTGGTAACTGCTAACTAATAAAGAGGGAGCTTTCCCACCTGCTGCACCCCAAATCTCCAGCAGTCGCGTGGCATGCCCTTTGAAGTCCACAAACTTGACACACTTGTACACAGGGATGTTTAGACCAAAGGGAAGTTCTGAAAAGGAATGACTGCGTGTGTTCTCCATGTGAACAGAAGGAGAGCACCCCGAATCAGATCTTATTTTTCCAGAAATAATTTTGGGGAGAAAAATGACTTTTCTGTGGGGTAGAAATGAATATTAATCTAAAAGATAACCATTTCGGGGTTTTTGTTTGTTTGTTTTTTGTGTTTCATTTTTTGGTATCGGGCATCAAACTCAGGATCTCATGCTTACCAGGCAGGCAGGCACTCACGCTGTAAGCTAAATCCCTGGTTTTGTTTTATGGGGATTGTTTTTGTTTTTGTTTTTCCGGTACTGGAGATGGAACTCAGGACTTTGTACTTGCAAGGCAGGCACCGCACCACTGAGCTAAATCCCCAGTCATAAGATAGCCATTTTTGATGCCTGTTAGTTTTGTGAATATATTTAATAACACTGACCTATATGGTTAAAATGGTAAAATTTGTTATGTGTATTTTAGCACAATCAGTAATTTTTTTTCTCAAAATTGGTTCTCACTATGTTGCACAAGCTGGACTTTAACTCAAAAGCATCCTGCCCACAGTCTCCCAAGTAACTGGGACTACAGGCCTCTGCCATCACACCCAGCCAATGTACCTTTTCAAATACTCAGATCTATTTGAATTTCATTAACATTTAAAATATGCCCACATTTTTCCTCTCCTAAAGAAACTACCTACCAACGATAACACCAAAAAAATGATACAGAACTGTGACTTCTTATGGTTAATTCCTCTTCAAACATTATTATACAAAAATTTAAAAATACAAAAATGATCTTCCTTTTCCTTTGATCCTGCTTTCTATTTTTCCCCTCCACATGTCCCACATTATGCTGTGAGTCAGGTGAATGGGACACAGTCTCTACCTCTGAGACCCACTCTGTTTACCCTGGCCCATTTCCCAGGGTCCACAGTCACAGA